TGATATTGGCTGTTGGTTTGTCATAAGTAGCTTTTATTATTTTTAGATACATTCCATCAATGCCTAGCTTACTGAGAGTTTTTAAGCATGAAGGGCTGTTGAATTTTGTCAGAGGCCTTCTCTGCATCAAATGAAATAATCATGTGGATTTTGTTTTTGGTTCTGTTTATGTGGTGTACTACATTTACAGACTTGTGTATGTTGAACCAGCCTTGCATCTTTGGGATGAATCCTACTTGATTATGGTGGATAAGTGTTTTAATGTGCTGTTGCAATTGGCTTGACAGTATTTTATTGCATCTGTGTTCATCATGGATATTGGCCTGAGGTTTTCTTTTCTTTTTGAGTCTCTGCTCTGTTTTGGTATCAGGATGATGTTGGTTTCATAAAATGATTTGGGAAGGATTCCCTCTTTTTAGATTATTTGGAATAGTTTCAGAAGGAATGGAACCAGCTCCTCTTTGTATGTCTGGTAGAATTTGACTGTGAACCCATCTGGACCTGGGATTTTTTGGGGTGGTAGGCTCTTAATTGCTGCCTCAACTTCAGACCTTGTTATTGGTCTATTCAGGGTTTTGATTTCTTCCTGGTTTAGGCTTGGGAGGATGCCACTTGTATTTTTCATAGAAGGTTGTGGAAAAATGTCTCCATTAATTAAAAAAAAATAAGCTTATTGCGTGGTCTTAGTTGGTAATTACAGTTGATCATTCCTTTTACTTTTACTTTCGGTCAGCATGCCAGAGAGGTTATTTAAGAGGCAAGTTAGGCCAAAACTTCATTCCTGCTAAATCTTATTCCTTTCCATTCTTTTCTTGTTTTCTTGTTTTTTTATTTTTTGACGAAGTTTCCTTGTGTCACTCAGGCTGAAGTATAGTGTCGCAGTCTCAGCCAACTGCAATCTCTGGCTCCTGGGTTCAAGCGATTCTCCTGCCTCAGCCTCCTAAGTAGCTGGGATGACAGGTGCCCACCATGCCCGGCTAATTTTAATTTTTTTTTTATTGGTTTGTTTGTTTGTTTAGATATGGGGTTTTGCTATGTTGGCCAGACTAGTCTCAAACTCCTGACTTCACATGATCCACCCACCTCGGCCTTTTAAAGTGCTGGTATTACAGGCATGAGTCACTGCACCTGGCCCCATCATTTTCTTAATTATGTAGTTACAGTTTTGGTTTTCCATAAACCAGTACTGTTGGGCAAAAATGTATTTGTGACTCTCCTGAGTTTGAAATGTATTTCTCCTTGCCCTCCTTTGCATAGCAAACACATTTTTATTTCTAGAAGATGAAGTCTATCATCAGACCCAGCTTAGAAACTGTGTTTTGTCTTTGTGTGTGAGGGGGGTGGGTGTACATAATGAGCCCACAATGGTGGGAAGAAAATTCAAGTTTCCACTTCAGGGGTATAGAATTATGATTATATTCCTAGTGTATACACTCCTCCTTTAGGCAATGGACTTCTGAATTCACCAACTTCAGTATTTTGAGAATGAGAAGCAAATTGTGTCCTGTGGGTTATTGGTGTGATAGTAAAAGATAACACTACTACTTCTACCCCTTAGTGCCTAATCTGTACCTCATGGCTATGCAGGTGAGACATACTGCATGATAAAGGATGACATCCTGGCTTTAAGATTATTGCTAAACAAATAGTGCCAAAACTGAGGTAGAGCAGACTATTTAATTCTTCTGTCAATCCAGGGAGGACATGAAATTAGTAAATTCCACCACTGAGCCCATTACCCTTTTTGCCAAAAGTATTTCCTTTCTTGAGATAATGTAATATATAGATTATTATGGTAATGGATAAATGCCTATATAAAGAACATTGTTGAACAGAACAGTAGGCAGCAAAAGCAAATCCACACCCAGAATATGAATATGTGTGTATCTCTGTGATGACAAAATGCTACACTGTCTTGATGGAAAGTTTTTCATATAATTCACATGCTTTCCACATTACATTATCTCAAAAAAGGAAATATTTTGTGGCAAAAAATTCACATGCCATCAGCTGTTCTCCTGAGATGTGATGCTATGTCAAAGATTCAGATAGCCACTACCATTGGCAGGTAATGATGGGAGTCAGAGGCTGATGGACATGTACTTGGCAGTCATCTCATCCACCTGATGACTGACAGCCTCCTCTGTTATGGATGTGCTCCAGTGGATGTTAAGTGGGACAATAATATCTTCACATTTTCACATTTTTCCCCTTTCTAGTAAGTTGATTCATTTGTTTTTTCCTAAACCTCCTTGTTACTGGTTTTCTAGTTTTACTTTTGCCATATCCCTGATCAGGTGGACACTTGTATTAGTTACTGTTCATGAGTCAGGATGGTTCCATGCCTCGAACTAAGTCTTTTGCCATGAAATGTGGACAACTAAATATTAAATTCAAAATCTTACAAACTGGGAAGATTTCTGTTTATTATTGTCTTTCAGTGCCACTCCTGAGTCAGTGCCACTCCTGAGTCAGATTGTAGTATGGAGCCTACCCAATTCCAGCTTGTTGTTTTGTACATCATGCAGACCTGCCATAAACCAGGCCTGCATCAATTTTTCTCTTGACAACTTGTGTTAGAAAACATGCCTTGTGGCACAGATGTGAGAAGAGAAGAGGGGATGAAGCAGAGAAGGCAATACAATGGGCAGTCACATTTGTTTTCTGGCTCAATTTCTCATTTATTTTATAGTGGAATGGTGCTGTGTGTATGTTCAGTTCTGTGGTCAGTGGATCAGATAACAGTCAGTTCATGATAGGCAGTTTGGGATGCATGCTCAGTGGGTATCCCATGGTGAGGCTAAATGTATCTGCTGGAGCCCTGGAAAGAACTACTCAATAAATAGATAATATTTTTAATACAAGTGACAGTGTTCTTTTTTAATCTTGTAATGCCTGTCTGATGATTGTCATATAGAGAGTGCCAAAGGCTCCACACAGCATCTCTGTTTGCCATGGACACTGACATTGCCATTGGATCTGCTGAAGTCACAAGGTTCAGGATGTAGAGAAGGTTGCAATATGGCCTCGATCAGTTGCAGGACCCCCTGGTATACCGATTCCACTCAGAAATAGCAGCTTTACAGCTTGCCTGAGATACAGAACAGAGAATATATGTCAATGTGGCTTATGTTGTTTTCAAATTCCAAAGAATCCACTTCCTCTTTACTTTTGCATAAGTATGACCCCAACTATTTTTCTCTCACTTTGGAAAAGATATCCCAGTGCATCCCAAACTACTAGATTTCTAGAAACATCCCCGTGTTGCACACTTTGTAAGTTTTACAGAAATTTGTCTTCCATTCTCTGCCTCTGTGCAGAGGAGGGTTAGTTCCCTTGGATAGAGGTTGCTTCTGTCAGCAAGAAGACTTGTCACAATTTTGATGCGCAGTATCTTCAGCCATAAAATTAACCACATACAGCAGCATTCAGCCGTAACGTGTTATTTATAAGATTGGTTTAGAAATTGTAACTATACTGTATACTTTTGTTCAAACACTCTTATCCTGTGTGTTGGAGTCCCAGTCCATCTTTATGAATATCTTTGTCTTACATTAAAAGAAAAAATGGGGTTGAATCTGTAATATATATTGCAGCCCTACAACAATTCCTATGTTCTCTTAGACTGTGGTCATAGTTTCCCTGAAACTACAGAAGAGAGGGACTCTTCCAAAGATATCATCATGACCTTTTGTTCTGCATGGGCATTCCTAATTTCACAATCAGGGTTACAAGTTCTTTTTCCTGTGTAATATCTCTGGGGAGTCAGAAGAACCTTGAGAAATATGTTTCCTAATCTTTACAATCACCATTGTTGTAGCAAGTAAATGCCACAAGCACTTGTTCTCCCAATGCCTTTTCCCTCTAGCTTTCCAATCATGCCACCACCAGTGATGATTGATTACTTATAATTCCATCTCTTTCTATGGACTGTCTATGCTTCAATTCCCACCTGAGAAGGTGATAAATTCCACTTATACGTATAGATAGAGAGATGACAAACATAGTCTCAAAATCTAATTTTCGGGGTCTCTTCTGAGTCTGCTGCTAGTATTAACTTCCATGTCTGTAGGAGTCCCAAGTGTTGGCACATTCAACAAGATAATTTGAAGATAATTTATTTACAAAGAGAACATTTTATTATCTTTTTATTTACAAAGAGAACATTTGCTAAGGTGAAGGGGTAAGAAAACCACAAAGGGAAGTGATGTAAACGAAGCTAGTAGCCAAGTTGTTACAACTCCTATGACCATGAAGATGAGCCATTACCAGACACAGGAGAAATTTGTGTAGACATGGCTGCAGTGACAGGAGTAGTGACATCATTTAAAATTCACAGCCAGCCTGAGGTAACATTGTAGGATAGAGCCAAGAGAATAAATAACCTGACTTTATTCTCTTCTTTCTAATCTCCTGCCAAAGGGAAGCCAGAGGATATGGGGGCCCTTTTGATGTCATTCATATAAGTTAGCTTTCTGGACCAGAAAGCAGGAATCAAAAAGTAGATAATGGATCTTGAATTACATGAAAGATATCTAGTATATTTCTTTTTCAATTTCCTTAGAGCTTAAAATAGTTGATGAATTTAGTGGGCCCTCAACTTGTTTGATGAAGATAGAGTGCAAATATGATTATATACAAATATGAATGAATATTTCATATTCATGAATATGAATATGGATATGGTTTAAGGCTACATCTCACCCTTCAATCACTGTTCTCATTCTGATTGCTCTAGTAGTGCTTTCATCTGTTCTGTCTACATTGCTGAAAATCCATGCAATCCTGACTTCACTGCTTCATTGTTTCCTTCCTCTACAGCTGCTCTTCCTGGAATTAAAAGGGTAACTTAGAATTGGGGGATTCTCAGGGAAGTTAATAAAATCCAATACACAGTCTAGAAAATGTAGATGTACAATGGAGATTTCAAGGACAGATGTTTGTGGGTCACTGAGCCCACATCTCTACAGTTGGTCTCAAATAACACTCATTTATTCTAGAGGAACTCCTGCATTCTCATATCGCCCACTGGTGGTCTCCAGATGGAGAAAGACTTGCCTTCCTGATGATAAATGACTCCTTGGTACCCAGCATGGTTATCCCTCGGTTTACTGGAGCATTGTATCCCAAAGGAAAGCAGTATCCGTATCCTAAGGTAAGTAACATGGAAGTACTATTTTGTTGCTTCTCTCTCTGCACTAGTGACTTGACTAATGGTATTCTTGGTTCTTGAGCAAGTTGTCTTTGGAGGAAAACAGTTCTTCTTACTTGTCAGACTCATCATTTTCAAACAGCCAATAGTCTATATGCAATGCTTGGGTGGAAAGAGGTAGAGACAATTTGAAAGTTTGTGAACTTTCACTTTTGCTGCATTTCTTTCCTTTTGATGCTCACTTTTATCTTTTCACATCTTACAGTAGAAAGAGGGAGAGGAGTGATTGGGGATGTACTGAGGTCAGGACAATGATTTCTGCAAGGCCTATCCCATAATAGGTGTTACAAGGGAGAGGAAAGTGCCATGTTTAAATACATTGGAAGATCTTTAAAAAAAAAATCTAGCTTCTTTCAGATGATTTCTTAGGGCACCTAATGTACTATATGTTAATGTGTATAAATCTTCTATAAAAAATAGACTATGTATAAAGAATCTCCAGTATGAAATACATTAAGCATAAAGAATCTCAATAAAGAATAGACCAGGCATAAAAAATCACCCATAAATAATAGACTAAGCATAAAGGATTTATTAGCATTAGTATTAATATCAGCATTACCTCGGCAGAGCGTACTCTAGAACACATCATATAAAATGGCAGTATGGAGTCATAGCCCTGGGTAGGTAAGATAGATGGAATTTTTTTATTGGATGAAGCAACTATGGAAATATGTTACAGACAGCAAAACTGTTTTCAAGTTTTGGGCAAGGCCTCTATAAGAGGGTTGCCGAAACATCTGAATTGTACTCTTTTTTTCCTTGGTATGCTATCTTTAATTACTTTAGATCTCTTTAAAACATGTATTTTCCCAATGTTTTATAATAGAGAAGAAGGCTCATGAGTAAGACCTCCTATACATTAATCACGTAAAGATGTCTTATAGGAAACTTTTAAGATTTCATTTCTCATTTTAGCTCCTAAGTAAGAGAGGATGTTGATATAATTTAGAAGCCATTTAAAACCATTTCTTTAGTGAGTTGCACTTTGTTTTTTCAATCACAATAGGTTTTCAACTTTTTAAATCATGTACTACATTAGTTGGACATACTACTGGGTAGATTCCCATCACCTTCATTACTGTAGCCCTGTCAGGGTGGCGGTGGGATCAGTCACAGTTTTCTTCTATTCCCACCGTCTACCAGATTCACGTTATCCAAGGGCAAAAAAAGAAAAAAGGAGGCTTGATTATGGAGGATCACAAATAAGATGAGCATTTTCCTCAGTTAGATGCTGCTGCCTTTCTTTCTCATCCATCTTCATGCCACAGATTGTAGTATTAAATGCAAGGTTAGGAAGAATCTGACCTGATGACTTTAAAATGCCATTTTTAGGATCTTCTTTGGACATAGATTAGAAGGCCTATATACTCAGTAGTCTTCAGGAGAAAATACTGATTTAACTTCACAAAAAAATAATCCGCACCAAGAGATTTTTAATGTACTCAAAGAAAAGAACTGTTTTCCCCAATTACAGATTTAACTTTTTTTTTCCTTTTTTTCCTTTTTTTTTTTTTTTTTGGTGCATGAGAGTTTGGGCCTTTACAGCCTACCGCACAACTTTTTCCCCAGAGAAAAACTGAAAAATTGCCTCTAATATTTTAATTCTCACATTGTTTGATTTATGATAATAAATATTCACCTGACAATTTAAATGTGAAATGGAGAACTAGTGACGTACTATGAAAGACACATTCAACTGTTCAGTACACTGCACAAAGGAATAAAATCACATCCAGCTGCTCAATGCACTGCACTAAGAAAATTCAGTCAGTTCGGCGGAAGGGACAACTGTTTGTAACTGATTTCCCAAAAGAAATGGATTTTTTTGCATTCACATAGAAAAGCCATATACATTTGCTGCATCTTTTGCCTTTTTAGTTCTAAACTCATAGTGCTTAAACTTGGCTACACCTAGGCCTCATAAATTTGACTAGATTGAGACAAACAAATGGACCAATGGAAGCATTTGAGAAAATTAAATTATGTCAACAACAATTCAGCAATAATATAAACTTAGATTCTTTATTGTTTGATAATTTATGATAAATTATGTCAGCAATAATATAAACCTACTTTATTATTTAATAATTTCTTTTAATTAATATTGCTTAATAGCAAAGATAGGCATAATGATAACATTTGTTTAATAATTGTAGAAATTACATGTGCTAGTGATAAACTTTAGGTTTTCAGGGAGACTTTCCACTTGTTTGTTTTTTTCTCATTTGGTCTTTATCAAAATTGCCTCTATTTTACAAATAAGCAAACAGATTCTAAAAGGCTTAGTGCTTCTATACAAGTTAGAGGTATTTTAAGAACAGAGAAAAAACTCAAATCTATTGATTTCATCAAAATTATGAGGCCTAGGAATGGCAAAGTTCAAGCACCATGAGTCTAGAACTAAGAAGGCAGTTTGAAGATGCAGCTAATACATATGGCTTTTCTATATGAATAAAAAAAAAAAAAAAAACTAAAATCTATTGATTTCATCCCTCTCTATAAAACCACCACAGGTCAACAGTTTGTATTTCCAAAGACACAGCTGGAATCGAAACATCTCCTTGTCAAGTTAGCACATATATATGGAGCTCTGTTTGCTCCATTTACTCCTTATCACTTAGCTATATGTGGGTGCTATTCTTAGCACACCTGCCATTATATTTGCTAATAATATATATAACTATATACAATGACTACCATTAATATTTATTAAAAATAAAAAATATGCAGATATTTAGTCATCAGGTGATTTTTAGTAGGAAGACCTGCTCACCTACCCAGGTACTAAAGACAGTGAGAGTCAAATAAAATAATCTGTTTTGGTCCTTGTTCTTAAAATAAATTTCAGTATTATTTTGTGTATGTGACTTCAATTTTCAGATTTCTTTTATCTACTCATTTCAAAGATGTTTTGTTAGTTTTTTGCTGTAACAAATGTATTGTTTCAATTCACTCTTATGCAATAAACCTTCAAAAAGTGCTACTTTGGAAATTGAAACAACATATAGAGTTTATACTAAATTGTGCTTTAAGTTAAACTAGATTAAAATGTGTATAACAAATACCTAATGTGGTCAGATTTACTAATGAAATACAGTAAACAAGTACATTTGTATTTTACTTAATTCAGCATGACTCAGAACTCATAAAATACCCTATCATTAGCAATTCAGCACAAAAGAGATGCACAGTTCTATCCTAGTCACCTCAGGTTAATCTTTTTAATTAAAACATTATCTTGTTTAATGACAATTTAGTTGCCAGGAAAATAAGGTTAATTGCTATTGAGGCTTGTGTTTCAGAATAATAAAGAAATTTGTGGATTTGCAGTCTTCATGGCAAGTATAACTATAAAAACAAATAGATGAATACCCTCTAGTCTGCAAACTCTTGAAATTATTCAAATGATTCAAATATTAAAATTTACAGAACCATATACTATGAACTTGTGATGTGTGTTAATTTCAAAACTTCATGGAAAGATACAAATATGAGATTATAGAATGCTGGACATTTGAATTTTGGAAGCAACCTAATGCTTAGTTGAGTTGTTCACATTTTGTCTGAAAACTGGCCACGAGTTTGTACAACTTTTCATTTGTGTTCATGTAGAAGTTAATTAGAGTATCAGTTATCCTATATAAGCTTACATTGCTGCTGACATAAAGGAAACTGCCTTAAAGATATGATAACAGATATGTCTTTAACAAAGCATGCCATAAAACTGCATCATTGGTAAGAATTTGCAGAAAGATCTAATTTAATTAAATTTCCCATTTGCTTTAATCAGTGTATTGAATGATTAAAAAAATAGAAGCACAGCTTTTCACTAACTAGAAAAGAACTTTTAGTGTCTTAATAATTATCATTTAAATTCACTATCATATACTATTTTCAGCATTTTATATAAACCTTTTTTATTAGTCTATGAGATATTTTTATCACAGGGAGGAAAATTTCAACTTAAAATTTCTGATTTGTGACATATTCTCAAAGAATATGACAAAATGAGACAAATAAAATGATACTTGAGACTCTTTAGCATGTGCTCATAGCTATGCCAAGTAAATAACAGAGTCAACATTTGGACTCAGGTTTCTCTGACTTACGCATTAAGCTAAGCCCATTCTCAAAATGTGGTGCTTTCACCAGCTTCATAGGGTATCAGTCTCATGCTGGAGGTGGACTGCCTTTAGCAGTCTGTAGCTTAACAGGCTCCTCCGGACCTCTGAATGATTCTGATGGTGGCTAACATTTGAAGACCACCAAGCTGTTAGGTAGATAGATAAATAGATAAGGATAGAAATATAGATCAGTGTTTTGTTAAAATTTGCACACTCATTATCTGGGAATTTTGTTTAAACAGATTCTTGGCCCACATTCAGAGATTCTAATTCCGAGTCTGAATAAGGTTTCAGGTGGGGTCCAGGAATTTGTGTTGTTAAGGTTCCAGGAGATGCTGATTGATGCTACTGGTCCAAGAACAACACCTTGAATGGCACTGCTAATACTGTATCCAGCTCTAAAGTTTAACACACCTGATCCAGCTAGAGAAATGGTAGACTAAAAATTAAATAGATAAGGCCATTAATTTCAGGGAGAAACACGACAACTAAATTAAAAGAAAAATGATGTGAAAGGGAGCTCCTGAGAGTCACAGAAGGCTAACCTGCCCAACAAATGTGCTGAGGCACTGTCAGGTTTGGGAATAATGAAATGATTTGCAAATTCTTACATAGATTATATATAAGAATCTTATATAAATTCTATAGTCTTCGGTGTGTGGCAGGCTCGTAGCTTATCTTCCAGGGAGCCCTTTACTCTATAAACCAATTTCATAATTTCTCTTAATAGTTACCTCATTTCTGTAGTGGAAACCTTTCCTGACTTCTTCCTTTGGCTCAATACTTCTAACCATTGAATGATGCACTTCTGCCAATGTGCTCGTCTCTTTTGATATCCTAACAGAATAGTTATTGAGGAGCTCTTGCTGGCTATTGGTAGAATGTATTATGTTGATTCTGATTCTGACTTAACTCTGGATTTTGTCAATACCAATTCCTTAAAAATGGATCTTTGTCATTTTTAAATCAGTTTACTCATTCCCTTTAGATTTTTATCAGATCTTTAAATTCAACTAATATTTAATTTCCTTTTTCTTCTCTATATATCTCACACGGACTTCTTTAAGCATCAGCTACATCATAAAAGTAATGGTGTATTGTTTAGAAATATATTGAGCCACACGTAATCAAGCAATTTGGTACATCATTGATATGATTATTCATTCATTCATTCAAACTGTTTGAAAGTTCTCATTCCTGCCCCTACTTACTCACAGTATATTTGGCAAAACTTTTAAGGCCATTTTGTTGGAAAGAACAGAAAGCACAACATTCACATTGTAGTTAAGAGCCACCTGGGTTTAAATACTAACTTTCTCAGTTTTAGGTGTTTCACCTTGCACAATTTGCTTAGATTCTACATTGTGACCAAGAAAATGGTTGTATGTTAGGACTGTAGGGACATTTAATTAGATAATGTAGACAAGGCCTTTAGTGTCTACTATGTGCCAGAAACATACCAACTGCTATGCCTGCAAGTCATTATTTATTTAATAAAATGTTGATTCACTGAGCTTAAATTACATTATCCTTGCTGCTGCCTTTCTATTCCTTATGCCAGGTATTCAGTACTCAGTGAGGGCAGTCTGCCCATGGCCCACCTCCCAAGGGTCAATTATGCAAACGAGTCACCCCATTTAGTAATTAGTGATGTTTAAAAAAAAAGCCTGGGAGATTTGGAATTTTAAGCATGGGGCACCTAGTTTGGGTAGGTTTCCTTCTTTCCTTTTTTCTTTCTTTATTTCTCCTTTTTTTTTTAATTAGCCAAATCTTCTTCCCATTGTATTTCATATTCTCTAATGTGAGTAGCTACTTGAATTACTGGTGCCATTTTAGGGAAAGAACACTGTAGCACTGTCTAATGAGTGAAGTCATCACAGTTTCCTATCACCTTTAATTGTCTGATGAAAATGCTTGAGAAGCAGCAATCTGAAAAAACAATTGAAAGCAATCATGTTGTCGAATTTAAAATCATTTTTACTTCAGAGAAATTAAACTTTTTTTCTCTTCTAACACAAAACAGTAAATGAATCAAAAGTCCTTTTTTTGCTCAATATATTCTAATGCTTAATATACTTGCACTACAACTTTCATTTTCTCAAAGGCAGGTCAAGTGAACCCAACAATAAAATTATATGTTGTAAACCTATATGGACCAACTCACACGTTGGAGCTCATGCCACCTGACAGCTTTAAATCAAGGTATGCAATTTCAGTTTCACTTTTATGGGGAACTAGATATTCTCACTTCAATTATCATTTTGTTGCAATTTAGAGAGAGGTGTGATCAGTTCAACAAATCCACTTGAAAATAAAGCTGAAGTTGCCTCGAGTAGTGAGGAATGAAGTCATTCTCGGTGTCTGGCTGTTACCAAGAAGCATTTAGCTCCAAGGTGATTATCAGCACCACAAAATGACTGAAGAGACTGATACTGAGAATTAGGTCTTTTCCTGGAGATGTGACAGAGATGGCAAAGGATCATTTTCCATTAAATTTTCTTCAAGAAAATAGTTGCTACACATATTTTTTCAAGGTGCCCTTTAAAAGGGTATAATCTCTCTGGAATTTGTGAATTTTTCCAACTTTGTCCCCACAGTTTTGCCAGGGATTCTCTAGCTTTCTTCTCCAGAGATATTTAATGATTTTTTTCCCAAAATATCCTACATATGAAATCTTTATATTTAAGAAGCTTGATAAGGGAGAAAACACATTTTATTGGGTCAGAAGTATAATTTTAATATTAACAAAATCTTCAGCAATGAACAGCTATTCAAATAATTATGTGTATTTTGAAATCCAGCTTGGTCTCAGACTTCAAAGTGATTCTTTCAAATACTACAGCTCTTTGGAAATTTATTACAAGCCTAGAGATGGGATAGACAGCTGATTTAGAAAAATGGTTTCACATTATATTGAATAATGTGGGGCTAAGTTCAAAGTTTATTTTGATGATATTGAAAATCAGGGTGATTGGTTCCAACAGAAATTTCATTCAAATTTTGTTTCATTGATATATTTAGAGAAAATTTCATTCCAGTTGGTCATTTTTACAGAGTGCAGCCTGATGTATGTGGAAATTTTACCCACTTGAAAAGGCAATAACGGTTTATGGAATGCTTATACCAGAAGACCCTCATTAACTACCTAATATAAACTGTTCCTCCTCCTGATGGAAAAAATAAATTCCAGCCAAAGTAAATGATTGAGATAGAGGCTCAGGACTGGTTGATAACACAAGTAGAAAATGAAGTAAGACTTCTTTCATCAAGTTGCAGAGCATTTCATCTACATTGGATGGAAAACCTTAAAGATAGTCCTGAATTGACATATATAATGTAATAAAGTTGACCAAATCAAATAGTAACATTTATTTCTGAGCTTGATCTAGCGGCCATGGATGGTTAAGTTACAAATGACGCAATTATGGACACTATTGACATTTTATCTGATCCTTAACTCGTAGTTTTTCCTCTGGTTTGTTTAATGCTATTGAATAAACAGGAAAGGAATATAGACTAGGAGTGTTTGAGTCACCTGTCTACCACCATTTCATTTGTCTCTTTGGATAAATCACTACCTGTCTCAGAGCTGTATCCCTTTGTCGTGAAATAATAATTTCTAATTTTTTTTCTTTCAAAAAAATCTTTGAAATAGGAACCAATTTTACAATATCCACATTTCTTTCTAAAAGGAGCTCTTGATTCCTGGCCTTGATTTTATTACCTATTTGTATAAATATAAACATATATAAATTGAATTATTAATAACATAGTTTCTTCACGTCCTATTAAGTTCATCAGATGTTCTCTCTTCTTTTTGATGTTTGTGTTGTGTTCATAGCATAGCTACCCATATAGTTTGAAATACTGCCTAAACTCTCATTAGCAGAATATTTAAATAATTATTTTATAGCAATTTATGTGTTTATGAGTTTTTTTGGTATGTTACTTAGGCATCTGGCATATTCTTAGAATCTTTAGATTATGAAATGGCAACCAATAAGTGGATCATATTCTGTTTGTCAGTACTATTACAAACTATCTTTTATTCCTTTTCAGTTTCCTTTTTAGTATTTTTTTTCCACCACACATAAACCACAAATATAATCATCTCTTCGCTTTCTTCCTTCCAATAAAATTGCCACGATGACTAGAATAATAATTGAATACATATATGACCGTGTCTATACAGGGAAGGATAATAGATAAATACAGAAATTTTTTTTTATGACTTGCACTATGTTATAAACTGGATTCTCTGACTTCCACCCTAGAGAACAACATTTTTTTTTGTTTGAATTCAAGATTCTAGGTCTTTTTTTGTTGTCGTTGGTCTCTTTGATTGTTTTTTGGATGATTGGTTTACTCATTTATAATAACCAGTGTTTATCACTATAACAGTAGAAGGTCCCCAAGCTGGTATCATTATTAGGTAGACTGTCCCTTCAACCCAATGCTTATACTCATCAAAGACTGTAAAATAAATTTTTATTAATTTATATGATTTAAAAAGAAAAGGATAAGATAATCTACAGAAAGGCATAATTTCTTCTCCCAAATCTTAACCTTATATTCTCTTCAATTGTTTTATTTATTTGTTTATTTATGTCTGATTCAGCTAAAGTCATTTCATCAATTTAGACACTGAGTTCTACTTTTCTTCAAAAGTAATTCAGTTCAGACTCATCTCATCACCATTCAGTTTATCCTTATCTGAATCACGGTCTGTACTGATTCTGTAAAGAATGTAGCATTGTAGAAACTAAGATAATGCCCCTTCTTGAATATTTCCAGAACCAGCGGGAGTTAGATGGGTTATCTCATCTTTGATGGAAGAAATCTTTTTCCAAATTATTGTACTGTGCACTTAAGGTATTGCAATCACTCAATACCTTTATTAGAAAATCTAAGTGTGAATTTTAAAATACATATTTACTTTCAAGGGAAATTTTATCTTATGATAAATGAGTCATGCAGATACTCCACAGATTGGATAAGTCACATTAATTTGGAGAAGTTATACATGGTCATTTGTGTAGATCTCTCTAGTCTGAAGAGTAAAAGTAATAATGTATATTTGGTTTCTTATTCTATGTCTTTAGCATTATTTTACTTATAAGAAATCTTTCTAAAGTCATCTATGTTTTGTGACCTGTTGTTCTCAACCTGCATCACTGATTTAACATGGTCACATTTCCCCTGTCACTCTGGGCTTGACACTCTCAGGCTTCCTCTTCCTATTTCTTTAAGTATATCTAGCCTACATCACTTACTCTTCCAAGGAATATCTGTGCCTTTCAAGAAAATCTAATTAATAAGTTAACCCACGTTCATGGAAGTGTCCTTCTTACAAGTAATACATAGTTATTAACAGAGGTCTTTGGAGACACTAGCTATAATTTGGTCATGAATACCATTACAATATACTTTTGGGAAGACATCACAGATTATCTAGAAGAGAACAGCACAAAGTAACTACATTTCACAATTATTTTGGTGCAAACACAGAGCAATAATTGGACAGGAAGACCGTGAAAACACGGTGTAACTGCTAACATACCTGTCTGCAGGTGATGCTGGGGCCTCCATTTCACATAACCTTGTGGACAATTAGATCTTCTGTGCCAGACCACCCAGCTGATAGAAAGTCTCTGTTGACTTGAGTATAAACCCTCTAACTAGCTTGTCTCTGTCTCTGTGGCTCAAGAGGACCAGATCCTCGAGGACTCCCTGGGTAATCCAGAGCCATGGAGACTAGGAACAAGCAGGAAATCCAGTTATAAGAAAGGGACACTCTGCTGGCCACTGGTCGTGGAACACCAGATCTAATGTGTTCATGAGATGGAGTTCCAGGAGGACAGCTACATCTGCAGCAGGCAGGCCAAGGAGTGTGACATTTCCAGGTAAGGGTGCTTCCCCACTCCCTCATTCAGAGACAGCCTGAATACTTATGAGTAAGCATGATTAATCAATATGATTTACAGGGAGATGTACAGCTAGACTCCCGGGGCAAGGAAATAAATGATATAGGAAGAGATTTAGTTAATAGATATATCTGTCCTCCTTGCCTATGTGTCAAGCTCTACTTGAGCTTCCATTTTGGCTATTTCTAACACTTTAATATAGAAATTTCAGTGGTTTGAAATGGCCCCTTGTTAGACTTTACAAATTCAACTTTATGGAGAACTTTCATTCTTCAGATTGTGTTTACCGTAAGCAAGGTCATTCTTGGGTATAAGCAAGGTTTATAATGAGATATCGCACATCAGATAATGCTTTGCTTATGACCATAAGGCACATTATGTAGAAGCAGACACAGCCATCACAGTATTTAGTCAAAGATAAATATAAGTGTATTGCTGTAAATTAATGATTTTCAACTTAACATTTTACAACTAAGTTAGTGTTTCCTTAAAAATCAGTTATTCACCACATTTGTACTGGTTGGCTTTTAATTCTTTTCCAAAGATTAAATTCTTTTTTGAAAAATCAAAATTTAGGCCGGGCACAGTGGCTCACGCCTGTAATCCCAGCACTTTGTGAGGCCAAGGCGGGTGGAACACGAGGTCAAGAGATCAAGACCATCCTGACCAACATGGTGAAACCCTGTCTCTACTAAAAATACACACACACACACACACACACACACACACACACACACACAAATTAGCTGGACGTGGTGGCACACGCCTGTAGTCCCAGCGACTCAGGAGGCTGAGGCAGGAGAATTGCTTGAACCCAGGAGGTGGAGGTTGCAGTGAGCCGAGGTTGCGCCATTGAACTCCAGTCTAGCACCTGGTGATGGAGTGAGACTCTGTCAAAAAAAAAAAAAAAAGTCAAAATTTGGCATCTTAGCTAATATTGTGTCATGTCTGTGAGGCATTTTGAAGATGTTCTTGTAACATTTCATTTGAGAACAACTTTGAAAGGGAAAACCTCTCGAGATGAATATTTAAATTCTATTTTGTTGTTACTATTTATTTTTTTAATTATTCATGTTAGTTTGTTACCTCATATCGCACAAAATATAATATTATGGCAGGTAATTGAGACACGTTTCTGACCGGATTTGAAAATCAACTGTATATCAGTTCAATCTAGATTTTTACCAGAAAATAAGACCTTGATTTGCAGTCTTTGCTTAGTTGTTTACAATATTCAAATCAATTTTTTGCTTCAAATTTCAATGACATTTATATCAATTATTCAGCATTTCAGCACTTATTTTCTGATTATTTGTAGTACTTAATATCATTTTTCTATAAGCTAAAATTCTCTAGAAAAATTTATTAAAGGTTAATACTTCATTTTCTACTTTTTAATATTCACATTGCTAAATATAATAGTGTATGCAAAGTAATCAGCCTAAGCAAAACACAGTGAAAGTGCACAGGACACTGTTCTTTGGAGGATCACAAAGCCTACTGATATGGACAAAGATTATACCTAAGCTAGCTGCATATTTTATTCAATGTTGCCTTATTAACTATTTAGGGCACTTCATGTTTTGATTTTACTGAGTTTAATGGCAGTTTTCAAGCCAAGTTCAGCTAGTTGTGAAAGTTGCCAGATGTCTTGAAGAGATTGTTGAAAAAAATATGGTGGTCTTCCTGTATGTCAACTTATGCTTGACCTTTTCCTGACGTCTTAACTTTGATCAGCTAACAGGTTTTCTAGAGGAAATAGTAGCTACTCACTAATGTTAGATATGTAACATTCATGTAGCTGGATATTTAACCCAGATGCATCTAAAGACGGGATTTGTATCATGAGGTTATTCTTCTGTAGCTGATTTTTTCTAAGTCATATAAAACTAAGTTAGTAAGTTGTAATACAGTACTTTGATAGCTCTTTCCTTACATGGATGGCTCTTTCTTCTGAGATCAGGTGCGCTTGGGCACATTCAGTCTGGTAAGGCTATAGACTGGATGGCTATTTCTGAAGTAACTATTCTGTTCTGAAACTGGGAAATATTTTAGAAAAAAATTTAAAATTTTTAGCATAAATTTATGAGTATTGGTGATTGTATTTTCTTGTGTGTGAGTTGGAAGCTTTGTGACATAAGGTATACATGTCCAAACATATGTATTATAAAGGAAGACACATAAACGTTTTCCTATCTCCAATTAGTCTAAGGACATAACTGGCCCCATGAATTATATCCTTACTATACCAAGAATTTAATAGAATTTCATCTTCTTTAATTTGATTCCTTCTTGGTTTAAAAATGTTTAAAATAAATAAGGTAATTGACAATGCTGTAAGAAATACTATATATTAAGATTGTGACTGGTCCTTGGTCTACAACTGACAAAGACCAAAAGAAACCATTCATACCTTTGTAGCCAAAGGTCCCATGTATAAAGTGAAATAACACAGAGGTTATGTAAAAGATATAATCATTAAGCCAGAAATAACCTTTGCCTTTTATTGGAAAAGATTATTCTTGATGATTCATTGATTGCGATTTTAAAGAAAAAAAAAACTTGCATTTACAAATGTATAATTGTTCTGCACTTAAAGGAGTACTAATCAATAGATAATTTTCATAAACATCCAGAATGTGGTTGTTTTGATTTTTCCAAGAATTACTTTTCTGGGAAATAATTCACTCTCAAATTTATTCTCAAATTATCTGTATATTTGTATACATATGTATATGCCCATGTGAATACATACATACACATACATTTTATATATGTAAATATTGATGAGCAGATATCTATGTATCTATCTATAAATTAATATGAAGCAACATCCTTATAGTGGTTCAGTTATTCTTATATATAAAATGGCAAATGTATATTGTTGGTATTATCCCAGTGCTCTGTCTCTAAACATATGTTTTAATTTTGTTTCCAAACTAGAGAATACTATATCACTATGGTTAAATGGGTAAGCAATACCAAGACTGTGGTAAGATGGTTAAACCGACCCCAGAACATCTCTATCCTCACAGTCTGTGAGACCACTACTGGTGCTTGCAGTAGAGTAAGTATACTTTACTTTTCTTTTATGCTTTAAGTAAAGTAGCTTATGCAGCTTTACAAAGAGGGATCAGGAAATGCATTGTGCAAAAATTCAGGGTTTAGCTTTTAAAACTAGTAGGAAAAGAATTATTCTATTAAGAATATATATTTTAATTCATAAAGCTTCCAAACTTTGAAGTGAACAATATTGATGATAAGCAGAAGAGAACAAATTGAGCTTTTAAAAACCAAATTAACCATTATACAGCAGGAAGATTAATCCAAGACAGATTAGCTTCATTCTCAGATATGGAATTTTTCTCTATATTGTGTCTTTAACTTGAGAATATAGAAAATTTTTCTATCCACTTTAAATACATCCCTGTTTTTTTTCTGTAATTCAGATAGATCTGACAAAATAACAGTGTTTCTCTCCTGAAATTAAATAAAACTAGTAAAAATTGATTTATGAACCCTCTGTTTTGAAATCAGATTATATTCAATTCCTAATATCAGTTTTTATAAACTCTGTAGTAAATTTAATGTGTAATATTTTAAGATTCCTGGTAGAGAAAACATTGCAGAAAGTTTAAATGGTTATATTATGTGCATGGCATTTTGGTGAAGGATTTTTAGATTAACAACTGAATTTTCAACCTCCTTTTCTGGAAAAGATGGAGTAAATGTTACCTGACTAGCTTTTCTGTTGTAAACAACTGTCAAATTGTACAAAGTATACAAAACAACTGTTTTCAAATATGGAACAATAGGAGAATCATGACCATAAATGCTGAAATCAAGTAAATGCACAAAATCAACCTGACTATGAGTTTCTATTCACAACACTTTTGAGACCAAATGGCAAGGAGATAGAGCCCAAGCAAAGCAAAAACGTCTCTGTGATGTAAGTAGGCAGGGAGAATCAGAGTTTGAGGTTTTTGTGATGACTAGAATTTATAGGTCAGGGACCATAGAAGTTGGAGCTATATAGAAAAGAACCCTAGTAATCTGTGAAGAGGACCCCTTATGTATTAGGCTCAGTGCTTAGCTGTACATACATATATGCCTCCACATTGCCTTAAAGGAAACAACTACTAAACATTTTTGTAGCAAAGGAAGAATCTGCAAGTGGCAAAGTACTTAGAGGGATTAGAGTTCTGAACAACAATAGTGAAGAGATCTCACCGAAAACCATGGGTATTCAACTGAGAACCCAAAAAGAGAGAGCATTAGAAGTACAGCTGTTCTAAACATCTTCTAATCACCTTTAGATTATACTGTAAGATGTCAAGTTCATCTGTCTGTAAATTAACTGTCTACCAGAACAAAGTTGTTTTGTTTTTTTTTTTTTAAGGGAAAAATCACAATTTAGGTGATTTTCCATATCAACACAAATATGAGAAATTCCTTAATATATCAATACTCAACACCATCAATATAAATAGAGGACAGTGCTTTACGATCAAATGAGGTTAATCCCAGGAATTTAAGATTGGTTTAATATTGAAAAACAATCAGTGTAATTCAGTTAAGGAAAAAAGAATTAAATATCTTTTTAAATAACAAAAAGCAATTGATAAAATTCAAAACCCCAATTCATGATAATTTTCAACATAAATGAGTAAGAAGAAACATCCCCAATCTGTTAAAAGATATTCATAAAGTACCCTCTTACTGAATGTGCAAACACTAACCTTGTTCATGTTAAGATTAGCAGTGAGGTAAGGCTTTCCATTCTCAGTACTATGATGCAAACTTTGCCAGAGGCCCCACTCAGAGTAACTTAGCAAGAAATCAGTTACAGTGTTAGGAAAGGAAAAATTAAGTCTGTATTTATAGATAACATAATTGTGTACATTTTTAAAAAGGCTACAATAAAAATCTAGAATACAAAATCACAATTTGTAAGGAAGCAAATGAGATGAAATATAAACAAGTGGCAAGTACGTCCAAAGTGTATTCAGGTTTCTTGAACCAGTCATCTGACTTGCCTGTAACTTTGTACTTGTTTCAAAATAAAGAATGGAGAAACAATAAAACATGATTTCTATATGTAAGTGATATTAAGAAAAAAATCAGCTAAAACACCATTAAAATCTTTAAAACTTAACACAATCATAAACGTAATGAATATTGTGAAATACTCCAATACTGAATAATACAGCATTACTAAAAGGCATGTGAAGGACCTAAATAAATGAAAGCTATTCCATGTTTTTAAACAGACAAGATTAATATCGTGAAGAAACCAATTCAACCAAAATTTAATCATAATTTTAAAATAATCCCAATTAAAATCACTTCTGACTCTTTTTGTAGAAATACACAAGCAGTTTTTAAAAATTAATATGGAAACAAAACATACCTGAGCAAGTCAAAGCAATCCTGTAAAGGAGCAAAATTGAAGGAATCAGCCCTATGTGATTTCAAGAATAAATAAAAAGCCACAAAAACCTGGAGATGCTAGTGGAGGGACAAGGACCACAAATAAGTTACTAAATTGAATGATTTCTAGAGAACAGGCCCACATTTATATGATTGATTTATTTCCTACACAGGTGTCAAAGCAGTTCAGTGCAAAAAAATGGAACTGAAACAATTGACATCCCTACTGTGGAAAAAAAAATGATGTTTGGCATCTTATATCATATTCTAAAATCAATTTGGGATAAACCATAGCCCTAAATTTAAAAGCTAATACTGTCGTTGTTCTAGGGGAAAATATGAAAAACTCATTAATTATGAAACAATAAATTGGACATCAATAAAATTAGAAAGTTCTCATCAAAGACACCATTAAGGAAATGGATATGTAAACTATAGTCTGGAAGAAAATATTTTGCAAAATATGTATCAGACAAAAACACATATAAATAAATTTTATATCTCGGTAATAAAAACACAACCCCATAAAAACATTAAAACTCAAACAGTTACTTATAAGGAAGATAATGAGCACATGAAAAAGTACTCAACATTTGGCCAGGTATGGTGGCCCATCCTTGTAATTTTAGTAATTTGGGGGGCTGACATGAGAGGACCACTTGAGGCCAAGGGTTCAAGACCAGCCTGGACAACTAAATGAGATCCCATTTTTATATAAAAATATTAAAAATAAATAAAAGTACTCAACTTCATTAGACATTAGCAAAATATGGATTACAAATATAATACTAGAATGACTACATTAAAATAATAAAAAACTGACAACATTAACTGTTAAAGAGGATCTAAAGAACAAAAATTCTCATTCTTTGCAGGTGGGAATGTAAAATAAAATTACATTAATATTTAAGTTCAGAGTGAAGTTAAACATATATGCAAATACAACATTTTATATATAAATGAGACATATATATGTGTACATACATATACAGAAATAAACATTATAGGCCTGTCTTAGTGGCTCAGGCCTGTAATCCCAGCACTTTGGGAGGCCAAGGCAGGTGGATCACCTGAGGTTGGGAGTTTGAAACTAGCCTGACCAAACATAGAGAAACCCCATCTCTACTAAAAATACAAACTTAGCTGGGCATGGTGGCACATGCCTGTTATCCCAGCTACTTGGGAGGCTGAGGCAGGAGAATCACTTGAACCTGGGAGGTAGAGGTTGCAATAAGCCAAGATCAGGCCACTGCGCTCCAGCCTGGGCAGCAAAGAAAGAGAGACTCTGTCTTAAAAAAAAGAAAATGCCTACCACTATACCACTTTGGGAGGCCAAGTGGGGAGGATGGCTTGAGGCCACAAGTTCAAGACCCATCTGGGCAACATAGTGAGACACAATCTTGATTTTTAAATAAAAAATTAAAATAAAAATTTAAAAATCAGCCTTTATCCTTTGACAAAATTCAGCAGCCCTTTGTGCTAAAAACTCTCAATAAACTAGGTATCAAAGGAACATATCTCAAAATAATAAAAGCTATTTATGACAAACCTACAGCCAATATCACACTGAATGGGCAAAAACTGGAAGCATTTCCTTTGAAATCTGCCACTAGACAAGAATGCCCTCTGTCATCACTCCTATTCAATATAGTATTTGAAGTTCTAGCCAGAGCAATTAGGCAAGAAAAAAAAAATAACAGGTATTCAATTAGGAAAGGAGGAAGTCAAATTGTCTCTATTTGCAGATGGCATGATTGTATATTTAGAAGATCCTATCATCTCAGCCCAAAATCTCCTTAAACTGATAAGCAACTTCAGCGAAGTCTCAGGATACAAAATCAATGTGCAGAAATCACAAGCATTCATGTATCCCAATACCAGACTAACAGAGAGCCAAATCATGAGAACTCCATTCACAACTGCTACAAAAAGAATAAAATACCTAGGAATATAACTAACAAAGGATAAAAAGGACCTCTTCAAGGAGAAGTACAAACCACTGCTCAAGGAAATAAGAAAGGACACAAACAGATGGAGAAACATTCCATGCTCATGATTAGGAAGAATCAATATCATGAAAATGGCCATACCACATAAAGTAATTTATAGATTCAACGCCATCCCAATCAAGCTACCAATGACCTTCTTCACAGAACTGGAAAAAACCACTCAACCTTCATATGGAACCAAAAAAAGAGCCTACATAGCCAAGACAATCCTAAACAAACAAACAAACAAAAAAAAAAAAAACAAAGCTGGATGCATCAAGATACCTGACTTCAAACTATACTGCAAGGGTACAGTAATCAAAACAGCATGGTACTGGTACCAAAACGGAGATATAGACCAGTGGAGCAGGACATCGACCTCAGAGGCAATGCTACACATTTACAACCATCTGATCTTTGACAAACCTGACAAAAACAAGCAATGGGGAAAGGATCCCGTATTCAATAAATGGTTCTGGGATAACTGGCTAGCCATGTGCAGAAAGCAGAAACTGGACCCCTTCCTGACACCTTACACTAAAATTAACTCCAAATGAATTAAAGACTTAAACATAAGACCTAATACCATAAAAACTCTAGAAGAAAGTCTAGGCAAAACCATTCAGGACATAGGCGTAGGCAAGGACTTCATGACCAAAACACCAAAAGCATTGGCAAAAAAGGCCAAAAATAGACAAATGGGACCTAGAGAGCATCTTTACAGAAAAAGAAACTATCATGAGAGTGAACCAGCAACCAACAGAATGGGGAAAAAATTTTGCAATCTGTGCGTCTGACAAAGGGGTGATATCCAGAATTTGCAAACAATGAAACAGATTTACAAGAAAAAAAAAAAAACATCCAAAAGTGGGCAAAGGATATGAACAGATGTTTTTCAAAAGAAGACATACATGAGGCCAACAAACATAAGAAAAAATGCTCATCATCACTGGTTATTGGAGAAATGCAAATCAAAACCACATTGAGATACCATCTCATGCCAGTTAGAATGGCGATCATTAAAAAATCTGGAGACAACAGATGCTGGAGAGGATATGGAGAAATAGGAACACTTTTACACTGTTGTTGAGAGTATAAATTAGTTCAACCATTGTGGAAGACAGTGTGGCAATTCCTCAAGAACTTAGAAATAGAAATTCCATTTGACCCAGCAATCCCATTACTGGATATATACCCAAAGGATTATAAATCATTCTGTTATAAAGACACATTGATATGTATTTTTATAGTGGAACTGTTTATAAGAGCAAAGACCTGGAACCAACCCAAATGCTCATCAGTGATAGACTGGATAAGGAAAACATGGCACATATACACCATGGAATACTATGCAGCCATAAAAAAGGATGCATTCATGTCCTTGTAGGAACACAGATGACTCTGGAAACCATCATTCTCAGCAAACCAACACAAGAACAGAAAATCAAACACTGCATATTCTCACTCATAGGTGGTGTTGAACAGTGAGAACATGTGGACACGCGGGGAGCATCACACATTGAGGTCTTTCAGGAGGGGCGGGGGAGGCACACTGGGGGGATGGGGAGGTTGGGGAGGGATAACATGGGGAGAAATGCCAGATAGAGGTGATGGGGGGAAGGAGGCAACAAACCACATTGCCACATATATACCTATGCAACAATCCTGCATGATCTGCACATGAACCCCAGAACCTAAAGTACAATAAAAAAAAAAAAAAACTGACGTACATATTTTGTAGTTAGAGGAAGCCCTTCTAGATAAGGATATTCTAAATATTTTCATTGCATACAGTTAACTGCAAAAAAAATGCTTCAATGGAAAATAGATATAGTAGTCCTATCCTACTTTTGATTTGACACCTTGTTGATATTCTAATATATTTTATTCTACATGTGGAGTTAAAAAGGTTTTCCAATTGAAATAATGAGACTAACAATAACACATGAAGTTTTGGGCTCTCGTGGGTTCTACTAATACTTGGTGGTACTAACAAGCAGTGGCATTGGAATATATTTTATTTCTGTGTTTTACAGATATCAAGAATGGTTAATGCGAGGGTGCAAATGGAGAATAAAGAAATGATTCAGTTAGATGTTTTTTTTTTGATATCTTCATGTAATGAATATCTATGGGGATAAAAATGCTCTGAAAAGAGAATGTGATCAATTATAATAAAAGAATATGGATTTAGAAAGAGAAATTAGTATTTAAAAACCTGCAAATAATTTATTATTAACAATTTGAGAAGGGTACCTCTGCATATAGAAAAGCCCCTAATACACTGTTATTAATGTTTCTTAATTTGAATACTTTTATTGTAGAATCATTTCTTTGAGAAAACCAGAAGTATTTTATGTCATTAAATGTAAATGGTATTACTAAAACTTGTCCTATCTACACATATTTACCTTGGGGTCAAATTAGTCTAATTTTGCTTTTAGCAATATGATTTTGGCTCTGATCTGATGCAAGACTGTTTTGAAGGGACACATAATTTTGTCATTTCAAATGTTTGCTATTTTTTTCTCAAAGACTGAGGTACTAAGAAGAAAAAAACTGGCCATGATTATGAATAAATTAAATATTGAAGGAATGTCCACTTTTTAATTTTATTCCTGGCTGTTTGCCCAGTTCCTTTGAAGGACTTAATAATTTTGTCCCTCAGTGATGCCTAGGGGTGAAAAGAGACAGTGTCTGGTGGCTCAAAACAGTTTGAATGAGGTAATCAAACAGAGCTGGAAAATGATCTCTTATCCCTGGTGAGGTACTGCTGGGAATTCTGAAAGAGTTCACCAAAGAAAAGACTTTATAATTAAATTATCATTTAGTCCCTATTCTCTACTTACTCATTCAGATTAAATCAATAATGACAATGAGATCTCTCAGGGTATTTCACCAGTTGAAGAGGGAAAAAAAACCTGATGATAACTGTGTTTTAAAAAAGTTAAATTGATATATGCTCATTTTGGTCTTTAGATGCTTCATGGAGTTAATTGTTTTGTTTCAGAAATATGAGATGACATCAGATACGTGGCTCCCTAAGCAGGTATAGTATAGGTGGTCTGTCACATTTTGGCCATTGTGTCCGTTCTTATGTTCACCCATTTCTTATGTGATAACTTTGTGTAAAAAAGTATGTATGAGTTTAAGGCTTTGCTAGGTTTGAAAGGGTAATTCTTTTTCATTAAAAGGATCACTTATGATTTGGGCTTTCTGTGATGTCATTTGTGAAAAGGTTACTTCTGTTTTTTATGAGACATAAATTGCAGAATAACTGTCAGAATCACTTTTTAAAATATTTTATGTAAGTATGCTTTTGTGTAGATGAAGGAGAAAAAACTCAGGACCTAACCAAAGTGGAAATTATTAGCATTGTTCTTAAAAATTTACCAGATCTCTACATAAATTGATCATGGAGATTATTTAAATAAATGCTTCTCAGTTGTATTCTAGCTCACAATTCTAGTTTGTGATAGAAATGAGGCTGGAATTAAGAACATACGGACAAAAACCTAATCACTGTTACAGGGTCTCCTCCGGGACAATTCAGAAGGAAACACAATAGCTAATTTAAATATAGCTGAATTCATTTTACTCTTACCTCCATTACTGCTTTTTGCGAAGGGAAATAATATACGTGGTATGGTTTCCTTTGGTTTTCTTTTTGTTCTTTAAAGCCCTCTTTTATTTTGTATTCTTTCTCTAGGTGTCTATGGTGTTAATGACCACCCATATTTTGAGACTTTCACATTTATGGAGACACTTCAATGAGTTCTGAAATATCTAAATTTATGCTTGCCATCTCCTCCTAAATCTGTAAAAATAGCTTCTTACTCTCCAGGTCTAAACTAATCACATTCTTCTTTTAGTCAGTCTTACTTATTTTTATCATAGGAGTCAATGATGTAATTATCCATTCAGATCTCAAAACTATTTACCCAATAGTCATCCTTGAATCTTTTCTCATTTTTATCTATATATGTAATTAACATGTGAAGATTTTACTTTCAAACATTTCTTAAGTCAGTTTATTTTTCTCTAATTTACAAACACTGTCCATGTTCAAACTACAGATACAGCAAGTCTCATGCCCTCAGGCACCCACCAATCTGTTCACGCTGCAGGCTGGCTGAGTGACCTTTTTAAAATATGCATTTAATTGTTGCTACTAACATTCTCCTCATACTTGCACTTCTATAACTCAAAGAAGTTTCCTCTGTCCTTTCTGTCATTCAGATAAAGACTAGCATCCCTAAAAGGTCCACAAGGGATTAAATTGAAAGCTTTTTCAGCTCTGTGTCATATAATCATTTTACCTGTTTTCTCCAGTCTAGCTACATGGACCCTCATATGCACAGGGACTTCGTAAGTGCCCTTCCTTCTGAATAAAATTCCTTCAAACTTCCTTATTTGAAGCCTATTTATTTTTCAAACTTTGGTTTAAATCACCTACTTAAGATATCACTTCCTCTAACTAGCCTAACCAAATCACATCTCCCAATAAAAGTTATATGAAAGTCAAATGTAATCTTTGTGTAACACACAATTATTGCTATGATTTTGGTTTTTGGTTTTTTGCTAAGTTACAGGGGCAAGGGGATGTTTATATTTTGCTCCTAATTATAAACCAAATGCCTAGTATAGAATTCAGTATGTAAGTAGAGCTCAATAGATACTTACTGAATGCTTAAGAAAAAAAGGAAAAAGGATTATAAATAATAAGTTATCTGAAGGATAGGTAGATGGATAGACATATATGTTTGTATATATATATTATGCATATATGTGTCTTCATACATGGTTATCTATTAATACAAATACTTTTACCTTAGTCAGTGTGCAAAATAAAGTTGAAAAAAACCCTGATTTTACAGCCAATAATAGACACAAATTTCAGTTGGATACAGAAAATAAGAATGAAAAATAAAAAATATAATGAATACCGAAGCATTCTGAATTGCCCTCCATTATTAAACATCTTTTCCTATTAATTTTATTGCCAGTGACATTCATAATAGTTAAACATATGTCAACATAATGCATGCTCTTTTGAGATTATGCTATCTAATTTTTAAATCCCAAATTTATGAATGTTTAATAGAAACTTTTTTAAAAAACAAAGCATCCAGTTATTAATTATTCAGTTAGTAAATGCTGTTGGTCGTTTATCACAGTCGATTTTTTTTCTCCAGAAGCTCTAAGGGAATTTTATGAAATACTTAGAATTATATGAAACTTAATGGATGAGCATGGTAGCAGTAATAAGAGGCAAACTTCTCAGATAATAATAAATTTAACGGAATGATTATATATTCTCTTTTGGCGTAGTAGAAAAGGCAAAGAGAAGTATGCATGCTTGGCCTAGCTTTCAAGGGACCTGCAGTTGGGATGAACATTGTATAATATATTTGGTCAAGGATAGAGTCCAGTATCCCCAGGTGACTGCCTTGCCTGTCAAAAACACTGACTTGCATAATGTTATGAAACTGTTATTATCTGTATGGAACTGAATGTTTTATCACCAGACATTGTCAAGTGTAGGGGGCAGATTTTCTTAGTCCGGCAAGGCATTTGAGATTGTAGCCCCCATCTATTCCTTTTCTGAACTACTTCTAAGATTCTAGAACTGGGGAGGAGGCAATGTAAATGGGAGATTGCTTATATATTTGTATATGAGAAAAAGGCAATTCGTCTTTTGAGAGAAGCACAAAGGGAAAATCGTAAGGGAGGAGCTGTTATGTGGGAGTAAATCTGGTGGAGAGAGTGATATATGTAACAAGTATTTTTGCTCACTGTATTGATACATTCATCTATTCATCAATTATGAGTTGGGACCTACTGTGTCCTAGGCAATAGAGCTAAACAGATAAAATTTAAAATTTAGTTTAATTATTAATTGCCTAGTGAAGAAAGCCAATATATTAATAGATCAATATAATAGAGTGCGTTGGAATCCATGATAGTGATGAATACAAGATATTTTTTAGAATATCTGAAGAGAGATTTCCTAACTAGGGAAATTTTGGAAATTCTTTTGTTTTATGAGAATAAGTAAAAAATGAGCAAGATTTTGCAGAAAAATGAAGATAGAAAGGTTGTTCAGACAAAAGAAATTCCAAGAGAGAGTTTCTTGGATTTTCCCATAGAAGCAGGAGATGGAACAAATAGAATGATTGACTTTATTATAGTTTAAATAATTGTTTCACTCAGCCAAGTATTTTGTCAGTATCTATGCTCAGTTATACAATTTTTCCAATCTTGAGTGGTGTATTACTTCAGAGTTTTAAATTTGTTACATATATTACTTACATTTTCATGAATGTTCATAAGGCAGATAAGGAAATATCCTTATTTTACTATCAAGAGGTGTATTATGAATGAAGCTAAAATCAGACTGTTCAGTATATTAAAATAGTTGTTAATTGACTGATTCAATCAGTAAATAATTATTGAGCTTAATTTACATGATAGTCACTGTTGTAAGAAAACGCCTTATTCATAAGGAGATAAGGTAATAAGAAGACACCTTATTTATAAGGAGATTTCAGATCGGAGACCTGAAAGAGATAAGAGAAAGAGCCAGACCAAGGGAATACAAAATACAAAAATCCTGGAGCAGAATCATGAAGAAACCTAGTGAAGAACCAAGAGAATGGAAAAGATGAGATAAAAAAGACAGTAGAGGGCCAAGTCATCTAAAAGGGCTTGAAGGCCATTGTGCAGAACTACTCAGGACCCATATCAAAGCCTTTCTTTATACCATATATATAATCACTCTCATTAATCCAGCAGGAAAAATTCAATGTTTTGTCAGATAAATTCATTTTCTTAATGTTTTTCCTGAAGAAAGAGAGCAGTCTATATATATACAGACTGGTCTCTTGATGGAAGCAGTCTATGTATAGACTGATGGAAGATATATATAGAGATATCTATATATATAGATAGATATATGACTTCCATCGTTTAATTTTCAAAAATAATTCTATTGATTTAATAATGTGCCACTAGAGTTTAATTAAAAATAATCAAGAAGGGTCACAGTTGTAAGTAGGCATTTGAGTTTGTGTGTTTGTAGAGAGATGAGTGGTAAAGATGGGAAATTTGAATTAAATAACTTACTATAGAATCCTTTCAATCTTATGGCCTGCTGGCTTTTGTGTTTTCAGTAAATTTATGAATACATTATCAGAAATGAATCTTCAAGTAACCAGTTGCTGAAGAAGAGATTTCAGAAAATATGGAATTTTATAATTAAAATATTTATTTTGATAAACTGGTGCAAATGTTTGCATGTTCCTTATCTTTGAAGATTATATAACTAAAAATCTCATGTGAAGATATGACATTTCTTGTTTGAACCATTTTAGAAAGTGTCTTTAATAGTAAATCACTCATATCCACCATGCACAAATTTTTCTCATCCTTCCCACAACTCAACCACATACATACACAATGTATCAGATTTACTTTTAAAAATAGCATACATTCATGTTTTAAAATAATGTGACCATTTCCTAGCAAATTTTGAATCAATTTTGGTAGAACCCATCCAGGAATTAACAGTAGTAGGCAGCACAGATTGCATGTGCCCTTTTGGGATTGTTTTATGCTCTTTTATATTTTAGAATGAGGAGCCTGTGTTTTCTAGAGATGGCAGCAAATTTTTCATGACAGTTCCTGTTAAACAAGGGGGCCGTGGAGAATTTCACCACATAGCTATGTTTCTCATCCAGGTAAGTGCTGGCCTTTTTCCATGTTTTGATTTCATTGTCCTCATGTCCCTGAAGGCCCAGTTCTTGTGGCATTCTAAACCTCTATATATATATACATATATACAACTCAAAGGCATCTTAGGAAGAGGACCTCCATCCACAGCTATATATTCAAGCCTTACCTTCCCACAAAACAGTCTCAACACTCAATACAATGTAATGAGTTACATGTGTGTCCTATGAACTAAGGGCTTTGGAGTATAGAATTTAATAAATAAAAAGCACCCAACTTTTAAGAACCTGAGGCAATCTAAAGAAGATTTTTTTATTCAATGAATACATATAGTCTATTTTGTACAAGTAATATTTTCCAGGTGTTATAAAAGTTTTAAATATTCAAAACAACCTGAATGTCCATCAAAAATTGATGATTTAATAAGTTATAGCACATCCCCACAAGAAAATATAGTGCAGATTTTTATTTTTTAAATTTTTTTATTACTTTTTTTAAAATAAAGACAGGATTTCACCATGTTGGTCATGCTCATCTTGAACTCCCGACCTGAGGTGATCCACCCGCCTTGGCCTCCAAAGTGGTTGGATTACAGGCATGAACCACTATGCCCAGCCTGATTTTTAAAAACACAGGATAAAATAGATGTTTCATGTTAAGTAACATAGATTTCATGTTATAAAATAGAATGTATGTTATATTATTATAGACTTTCTGATAAAAAGAGGGGAAGGGTTATTTTTTATCTAATCAAAAGAATATTAAGAGTTTATAAAGCTTCATTATAAAAATTAGAAAATTTAGCCAAGCACTGTGGCTCACATCTGTAATCACAGCACTTTGGGAGGCCAAGGCAGGCAGATCACGAGGTCAAGAGATTAAGACTGTCCTGGCCAACATGGTGAAACCCCATCTCTAGTAAAAATACAAAAATTAGCTGAGAGTGGTGGCGAGTGCCTGTAGTCCCAGCTACTCAGGAGGCTGAGGCAGGAGAATTGCTTGAACCTGGGAGGCGGAGGTTGCAATGAGCTGAGCTCACACCACTGCACTCCATCGTGACAGACTGAGACTCTGTATCAAAAAAAAAAAAATTAGAAAATTTAGTTAATTAGCTTAAATATGACAAGGTTAACAAGTCAATATGAATTTAATTTCCAAGAGCAAGGATTCATGATAAAATAAAGCATCCTTCATATAAATAAATAATCTAGTCTCACACACACATTAAAGGTTTTGTAATGGTAAGTCATTGTAGCTAACCTGGAGTCTTTATGAAGGTTGTACAAATTAGACGAGAATAATTTCATGGTTAGAAAATATAGAGTAAATACAAATGTGTCAAAGACACCTAACTGACCTTACTACTTTTATGTTTTTAGAACTTTTAAGACCTGTGCACATTCTCAAATGATTACCATTATCTTTCTACATTTGTATTGGACAGCTTAATGCTTTAGAGTCTCAAAATCTTATGTTAATAATTTAAAATTTAAAACTTGTTTAGTGTCTGTGCTATTAAAATAATTGTCATTATTTTAACTTTAATTTTCATCAAGGCTGAAATGAATAATTTGGAACACATACAATTTCCATGGTAGAAATGTAGATTGATTTTCATAGTATATTATTATAGTAGAAAAACAAGCTATAAACTAATGTATAATGTGATCCTATTTATGCTCTAAATAAATATATGCAGTTATAGGTGAATCAAATTTAGAGTGTTTTTATATCTAGCTATTAAGTGATTATATAAGTCAGGTATAATTAAGGGAACTTTTGTATGAAACTGAAGGGAACTAGACTAGCAAATTACCTTACTTTATAAACTTTTCCTAATTAAGAGTCAACTTGGTTATCACAAATACTAGAGAACTATTTTGGCCACTAAAATATCACACTTTCCAAATCTTATAACTGATTATGGCATTTCATTGAATTTTTAAATTTCAGTATTTTATATTCAAGAAGCTCTGTGAAAATCTAAGTGCTAAAGAAGATTAATATAAATTATAGATATTTATAAGAGATAGTGAAGGATAGAAAGAGATGTATAATACATCTTTATAGATACAATTCCCAAAAGAAGACAGTCTGTCCTTGACTGTAGGTACCCTGTTGTGCTATCAAATACTGGATCTTACTCATTCTATCTAACTATATTTTTGTATCCATTATTCAACAAATAAATAATAGAAATAATATCTTTTTTAAAGTATGATGTTGACATATAGGAATTAAGATATTTACACACCCAAACCAAGAGTTTTTTTCTTTAAAGCCTAGGGAAGAAATACCTTCTATTTCCCAATCAAACCAGCCTAACATTCAGGCTAATTCCTATATTTCTGTAATGAAAAACTTCCTAAGGTAAAGTTCTACATTGTATTTACTTTGTTTCTCTTCTATATGGAGACTATAACAAAGCATTCATTGAAGTAAAAAACATTTTTTTTTCTGTTCTGGTTGCTGTTTAGATAATTGGTGGTTTTCCTCATTGAGAAATGAACATGAATGCATGATTATTTATGAATATTTTGGCAATTGATTAAAATTTATCTACTTTGCTAATGAGTCAGAAGCCAGTGCTAGGTAAATACAATTTATACTTACCTTTAAGCAAACACAAACACATACATTATTTTGGGAAACAGTTTGAATTACATTGCCTCAATTTAAAAATAGGTAACAAAAAAGCTATTTGTGAATTATGACTGCCTAATTGACATAAAAACACTTCAAAATAATGAAAAATTTAAACTGGATAAACTGAATAAAGGATTCTATAAAATCACCCACAATATCATCACCTCACATTCTCATACTTTTAAACCATTATTGTATATACTTCCAATTCTTTCTTACATAAGAAATATAAAGTTTTCCCCTAAAGATTGCAATTATATCATAATATAGATTTGTAGCATGAAAAATATAAATAATGAGCATTTCCCACAGGATTTAATTGTATTCCTAATATTTTATATTTTTCTTCCCTGTGATTTTAATAGCTGCTCACCATTACATCAAGTAGACATACTGTACTACATTTATTTGTTTATATATTGTTTCCTGAGACAGAGTCTCACTTTGTTACCCAGGCTGGAGTGCAGTGACACAATCTCAGCTCACTGCAACCCCACCTCCTGGTTCAAGTTATTCTTCTACCTCAGCCTCCCAAGTAGCTGGGATTACAGGTGCCCGCCACCATGCGCAGCTAATTTTTGTATTTTTAGTAGAGGCATGGTTTCACCGTGTTGGTGAGGCTGGTCTCGAACTTCTGACATCAGGTGATCCGCCTGCCTCAGCCTCCCAAAGTGCTGGGAATAGAGGCATGAGCCACTGCGCCTAGCCGATACTGTATTTAAATGAGCCAAGTTTATTAATCATTAAAGTCATTTTTATATTTTGATATTAGAAAGAATTCAGAGTTTAAAACCCCTATAAACACTTTTTCCTATTTATAATTCTTCCCACAAAATTGTATTTCTAGATGTTAAAAGATACTTAGGCAGAGTATAGCCATATGTATGTATTTGTTTAAGTTGTGATGTAATGGCAAATTGGTACTCTAAAAAATAGTATAGTAATTTACAGTCTAAACAGCAATGCATGCCAGCATTGATGACTTTTTACCCCCTTTCCTTCCCTTCTCATGCTACATAATTCTACTTAAAATTGTCATGCCTGAAAAGCGAGAAATGACAGGCCTGGGGCCTTGGCAGCCAACTGTCAGCCAGATCACCTTTGCAGTACCTGGTGCTTACCTATGTTTGAGAGCTTACTGGTTCACTCAGAATATATCCATTTGTTTGAAATACCTTACTAAATGAAATTACTAAATTTTTGCAAACATTTTGGTCTCTCATATTATCAGTAAATAGATAAAAATTAATTAGAGACCAAGCTAGAAAATTATTGCTTTCAGGCTATTTTCATATGGAGAGTGATGGCTGTCAATACATATATTTTAGTGGGTTTTTTTCTCATTCCCAAAAGCTGTCCTTGTTAAAGTGATTCTAGAAGATAAAAATAAAAAGAGAAAAGAATGCATGTGTTTTCCTCCAGCCTTCATTTAAACATTATCGTAACCTTATGTAAACTACACTATTGCATCCTGATATGTCAAATTTAAATTTTAAATGCTTACTTTTCCCACAGTACTAAATAACTTTGAAAAATAATTCTTTAGAAGATTAATACTTTAGAAGATTAATACTGGATGTGCATTGATAACCTTATTTGTTGTTGTGTGTTTAATTTAGTGGCAATTTGTTGTAATGATAGATGTCACTGTATATAAAGCTTACTTATATTGTGGATTGTTTCTTTAGTATTGATTAACAAAACTGGAATAGCTGGATCAAAAGTAAAAAATTTATAAGTCCTAATATATGTATTTCCAGATCACTTTCAGTTTGAATGTATAAAAGTAAAATTTTTGAGTGTTTTCACCACTTTCGATATTCCTTTAAAGACAATATTAAATAAAACAGGCTTTCCTGGAAATCTATGTAACCGAAGTATTTGTTCTTCCGGACAGAGTGTTTAGTATGCATATTACTATCAGTTTATGTACTTCCTGAGTCATACAGGGATACAAGACTTCTTACCCCAGACCATTAAGCTTTCAATCACTTTAGATATTTGCCCCTTCCCTTCCTGATAAATATTTGTTATGTAGACTTGTAACTTCTGAATTCTCATCTCAGGAACTATAACATTCTACGTCATGCAATTCAGGCTGTAGCTAAAAGATAGGTTTTTATCAAAGGTATAGTACCTTTTTCTCTCAAATGTGGAGTAAGCAGAGTTTTAATTATGTTCAGTTGTTCAGATTCATGGGTGTAAGGAATTGCCCTGTCATCTTCTAAAATTGTGTTAAATGAAAAATTATATGTTGGTGAATCCATTCACTTTCTCTATCAGCAACATGAGATTTTACCCATGAGAGCTGATGATTTCACTTGGAACAATTTTAAGTGGCATTATTCATTACAAATACTGT